CTCTTCAGAGAGAACAAACTTAAAGAAATTGAAAGCTTAATCAATTTCATTAATTTTGAAATAGGAATAATTATTTACAAGCAGTATTTTTGTACATTTTTTTAATTCTCAAAAAAGCAGGTGCTACTTCAGTTTTTAAATCTCTTTTAATAAAGTATTTGATGTGACAGTTTGGGTCTGTTTGTATGCTGTTTGCAGTTACAGCCACTTGGGACTCAGAAGAGTTGAGAATTTCAGTTGGATTCATTTATTTTTTTGTTTCCATTTGTAGGATGCTCTGGCCCACTAGGAATAGAAGGAGGAATTGTGTCAAACCAACAAATCACTGCATCATCCACTCATCGGGCTCTTTTCGGACTCCAGAAGTGGTACCCATACTATGCAAGGCTTAATAAGAAGGGTCTTGTGAATGCTTGGACTGCTGCAGAAAATGACAGATGGCCGTGGATTCAGGTAACAGATGGAGCTGAGGAGGAAAAAAATATCCTTGATTCATTTGCCAGAGTCACTTAAGAAACTGATGAAGACAAGTGGTAAACTAACAGCTAGATTCTTATTCAATGTAAGAAACGAGGCCCAGACTAAAAGGAACTATTAGCTGCAAAACGGAAATAATCTTGACTCCACAAATGCACAAATCTTTATATCTAAAAAACGTGTTCATATGTTCCATTGTGGCTCTAAACAATGGAAGCAAACTTAGAAAGACTCTTTTCAAGGAAGCTGCTCTCCACATATGTTACATTGCTCATTAGTTCCTTAGCAGCATTTTGTAGCAATATCTCCTGGTAGGGATACTTTGACACATTCAGCTTTTCTTGGGCATTATTCTAGAGTGCTTTAATGTGGTTTTGGCTGTAACAGAGCCCAGAGGAACAGTTTGTTGTCTCTGCAGACCTGCTCTGGGCACACAGGTTAAGCATTGTGTGCATCACGCTGGAAGTAACAAGAACTGTTTTAATTAAAGTTGAAATAGCTATTAGTTCAGCTTCATCCATGGGGCTGAAAATACGTGTTTTTTTCATTCCCACTCAAGGATGTTATGGCTCGAATGATTCAAATGGCAGTGCTTTTGTTCTGGACTGGATTTCTCTGCACCTAGCAAGTGACTTCAGTTAAAGTCCTGAAGCAGTGAATATGAAGTTCTGTGCCTTTATTAAAATGATGATAACGATTTATCTAGTGATTGTTGCAGCTTTTTATGTTTATGGTGTTTTCTTCTCATGTTATGTGAATTGGACTAAGCTTTGGCATTTTTGGGTGTTACATGCTTAGAATCATAGAATCATAGAATAGTTAGGGTTGGAAAGGACCTTAAGATCATCCAGTTACAACCCCCCTGCGATGGACAAGGATACCTCACGCTAAACCATGTCACCCAAGGCTCTGTCCAGCCTGGTCTTGAACACCGGCAGGGATGGAGCATCACAGCTTCCTTGGGCAACCCATTCCAGTGCCTCACCACCCTAACAGTAAAGAACTTCCTCCTTACATCTAATCTAAACTTCCCCTGTTTAAGTTTTAACCCATTACCCCTTGTCCTACCGCTACAGTCCCTAATGAAGAGTCCCTCCCCAGCATCCTTATAAGCCCCCTTCAGATACTGGAAGGCTGCTATGAGGTCTCCACGCAGCCTTCTCTTCTCCAGGCTGAACAGCCCCAACTTTCTCAGCCTGTCTTCCTAGGGGAGGTGCTCCAGTGCCCTGACCATCCTCATGGCCCTCCTCTGGACTTGGTCCAACAGTTCCATGTCCTTTTTATGTTGAGGACACCAGAACTGCACACAATACTCCAGGTGAGGCCTCACGAGAGCAGAGTAGAGGGCCAGAATCACCTCCTTCAACCTTCTGGTCATGCTCCTTTTGATGCAGCCCAAAATACTGTTGGCTTTTTGGGCTGCGAGCACACACTGAAGCCGGCTCATGTCGGGCTTCTCATTGACCAGCACCCCCGAGTCCTTCTCCGCAGGGCTGCCCTGAATCTCTTCTCTGCCCAACCTGTTGCTGTGCTTGGGATTGCCCCAACCCAGGTGTAGGGCCTTGTACTTGGCATGGTTAAACTTCATGAGGTTGGCATCAGCCCACCTCACAAGTGTGTCAAGGTCCCTCTGCATGGCATTGTTTTCCCACATGTTTTGTCATTGTAGTCAATGTCTTTTGCCAGTATGGTCAGTAAGTGAAGAGGGTGCTTCCCTCCCACCACAGGAGTAGCAAAAGATGGTACCTGAGCATATTGTCTATAAGGTCTAAGCTGAACTGTCCATATGTCCCTCAGGTGTGTCTTTTTGAAGTTACCTTTGTGTACATGGCATCATTTTTTGCTCATACTCAGGTTTTTTGTACTGAATACTGTTTGTAATTTTTCTAAGCAGTTCCCAGCCATATGGGGGGAAAGCATATAGGGTTACTTGTTCATTTTTCTTGTTTGGGGAGCAGGCACAACGCACTGCTTGATGAAGTTTTCTGAAACTGGTGTGGTGAAAGTGCTGAATTTTGTCAGTTCTGAAAAATTAAAGTGGTATGACTGTTATTCACTGCAGAGTGAAAACACAAAGGCCATTCAATGTATCTTAGGTCAGTTTTCTTCCATAAAGACCAGAGGGGTTAGGAAGTCTCTAAAATTTATACACTGAAAAAGAACAAGAAAGAATAATGCTAAGGGACTTCCACAGAATTCTTTTCACAAGAGTAGGAAGCTAATGTAACATTAATGTGTAATGAAAAAGCCAGTGTTGCAATAGCTTTTGGGCTGCTTTAGGCTGTGGGCATTATTAGATAAGCTGCAGAAAAAAATCAAAATCATTTAGCATTGGCCCCCTAGACATGTTTTCAGTAGGAGATGAACTGGATGAGGATAGCTAATGTAATGTTACTTCCATGTTTGTACTTGGCACGATGGAGGCAGCTATCAGGCAGCTATTCAGGTTCTACCCAGACCAGAGCAGAGTTTGCCTTGGACTTCGCTCCCCGGGAAGCATTCCCTTTGCTCCTACCTGGAAAGCAAGTTGAAGAAGATGTGTCCACAAATTTCATCCTGTGGCACTAGGTTTGAACAGTTTGTTCTTTTTTGGAGTTAATGACCTAATCTAGGAAGTGCCATTCCCATGCAGGTTTTTCTGTAGTTTTGACAGCTATAGTATGTAAGGACTTTCTAGAAGCTGATTAATTTATATGATTAGTTTGTATTAAGTGCATAGCAATCCCTTCTTTTCCTTCTAATTTTTCTTTTAAAATAAAATGAACTATAATTTTCACAAGACTTGCTGAGTTTATTTTCTTTTTTAGTTCACAGCAAAAATAAAAAATGCTTGTCATAATTTAAAACCAGAAATTTAAATCTTGAGAGGATTTTTATTTTTTTCTTTTTAATTTTCTGCAGACTTTTCTCCCTAGAAAAATCTGGGAACAGAAAAGCTAAAATTTTTCAGGGAGATGGTACTTTTAGAGAAAAAAGCACTTTTTAGTGCTCTGCAGAAGCCCTGTTTTGATTTGGCAAGTATACAGACCTCCACAGACTCACACTTTCTGCATTGCGTAGTAGTTCCTTACATCAGAGAGCTGTCTTGTTCTTCAAGCATGAAATACACTCTTAAGAGACAGACAGTGCCTGACCCTTGTATGAGTGAACAGTTGCTGTTGGGAGGAAAAGCAGAAATCCCATATCTTATTTTTGAACAGCTTCTGTAATGGCCAGAGTGATAGTTCAGAAGCATTCGTAGAGTTACAAAAAGTCACTCTGATGTGTGCTAGGTTCCAGGCTACATTCCTTCTGGTCTTGTGGGAGAAATGTTCCTTCTAGCAATAGCCGAGCCTGAGTTTTTACTTTATCGTATCACCAGCCTGTTCCTATACCCTAACTTGAGAATTCTCTGTATGGGACTTTTTCCATGTTGGTCTGAGTGATGAAGCCATGGGTCCAGAAGATGGGTCCTGCAAAATGGTGTGAATGTTTGGAAAGTTCCAAAACCAGAATCTCCAGTTTTAGGACATGGAAATTAACATTTAGCGCAGTCAACCTGAAGTAGCAGCTTGTTGTCCTCTTACAGTTTCTAATACGAGATAAATTCTACAGGAAGCTGTGTATAATGGGCAAAGTCCCACAAAGTATAATTATGTACAGGCCTGTAGCTATTTTTGACTTGTTCCATCATTATCAATTTTCTTTGTCATTTAATTTCATTATTTATATGCATCTTGGCAAGTGAAAGTTTTGAGTGCTTTGCTTATAACTCACTTCTAATGAGTGCAGAGGTTTTTCTTTAATCTTTCAGGTGTCTGACACATATGAACTAATTAGTATTCAATTTCATTTTCCTGCATTCTCTCAGTGAACTGAAAATTGAAATTGCCATTTTAAATTTACACTCTCAGCATGTAATTAGTAATGGCACTACAATGCTTGTAATTGCCTTGTGATTTAAAGGGTCAGTGACCATGTTTTTGAAAGCAAATTAAAGTCAGAGTAAGTCATATCTGCCTTTTAAAGTCCTGCTGACCTCTGTTTCTCCTTAGGCTGGCTGTGAAAAAATAGCACCTGTGTATACTGTTTACCACTTTATCGGTGACACTAACTTTTCATGTTTCCAAACAGGAGAAAAAATCCCACACTTCTATTTTTCATAATTGTTCCTGAGATTTAACTAAAATGCCTGTTGCTCGATATAATCCCTTTGCTTTGTTCTGGTAACAGGTCTTTTTTGTCAAACCTCTTTTTTTTAAGAGAGGACTGTTTTCTCTTTTCCCTTTTGTCATTTTTCATTTATGGGTATACAACAGCGTATTTATGGTGGAAATACACTTTTTCTGTTTATTTTGATTTCACCTCATCCCTGCTCCTTCCTTGTGCTTATGTATTTTTTTTTCTATTCATATATATTTTTTCAAGATAATATGGATTAGAATAGACATGGCCAAGGGCAGGATTGATGTTTCCATTATCCATCCACCATATCTGATGTCATAGTAACTGAGAATCAGTAGCACAAACTGCTAGCAGGAGCAGGACCTTCTAAATGTTACTACTCTCTAGTGATTTCTAACCTAGGTAGCCATGCCTATATCCTTACGTTTCTCCTTCGCCCCCAGTTTCACCACCCAAACCTAAAATTTCTAACTCATTTTCCCCTATTCATGACTAGTTTCCCTTTTGCTTCCATAATATATTACCCTCTTTTATATCACATTATGATACACAAAGACTGCAGACATGGTAAATATGCCAAAAATCCGTAAACTGAAATGTCATGGAGAACACTGTAACACATATCATATGTAAGAACATGAGATAGATGATAGAAAAATTTGGTATAACTAGCAATGCAAGGCCTGGCATACAGTAACAAAGTCCTAAATCAAGTCATACATTTAAGATGTATAAGTAATTTTGGAGAAAGAATGCATATTTAGGAACTATGTTGAGGGATGAGAGAGCAAGGTGGGTGAATATTGTCCCAT